TGCGGTGTGTGTGAATCCCGGTAACAGGCTCTCATTCGACTCCCAGTACAGTTAAACCAACGGTGTACACGAAGGTGTGGACACGTGCGCACACATATGCCTGTGTATGCAAATGCATTCACACGCATGTCTGCACATTCTGACAAGTGCAGTTCCTCACATTCTACCATTACTCGAACCCACCCACAACAAACCACGCACACACACCTCCCTCTTCCCTTCACACATGCACCCCACCTGCCCACCCGGCACTCCTCCCACACCTCACACATAAACAGCCTGGCATCTGTCACAAAGGGGGGTAGTGTGGGGGTGATCGCACATACACATACACACATGTGCACAGGCACAAACACACACCGGGACACACAAACACAGTCCTGTTGTCTGCAGTGAGCGTAGCCTTTTGACCCTTTGACAGGTACACGCAGGAACTCAAAGTGAGAGGAGAAGCCTCAGAGCAGGTCTACAAGTCAGAGACGTGCCCTCTCCATAGGTAGCTGTCCAAGTCCTCCGGGCTCCAGGGGGACGGTAGTGCCTCTCCCAGGAAGCTATAACTCTCCTCTCAGGAAGTGAGGTGTGTCTGCAGCGTTATCTACATCTGTCTGGGTGAGAAGCAGGAGGACAAGAGGTCAGACAAGAATGGGACCACTTATATCATGTTTTATGTATGACGTGTGGCATGTGTTTGAATATTTACATGTGTCTGAAGGTGATGCAAATAAAGAAGAAAAAGGCGGGAGGAAGTTTAGTTTCTTTTGTCAACAAAGACCTTCTGTAAACAGTTGAGGATGATGCAACAGCGGAGCTGAGCCTGTAATACCCAGAGTGCAGACCATCTATCGATCAGGGCTTGGCTTGTATAAATAAAGCAGGTTTTAAAAATCACTGATAAAAATCCCCAAAAGGATTCCTCACCTGATCTGACTTCTTTAGGACATTTTACGCATTTATTTATTCTACTTTTTCTCTTTTCTGTACTAGATCATAAAAGCATATTCCCATCTTTGAACATAATTCTCAACTAATTTCTCTTCCTACCTTCCTCACTTCCAGTTCCTCATGTCTGGAAATCCCTCTGGTCCGAGGTATGTTGAACGACCCCTGAAATAACGCGTTTGAGGAATATAAATGATACCCCCCCTCCCCAAAGTCAAGTTAAAAGCTTTGGGGGCAATCCTTGTGAACTCCTAGAACACTCCCAGGCATATAATTAAAAGGTAGTTTCTAATTTCTATGAGAGTAAATTAGCGCCCCGGCTTTATTGTTAAATCATGGCTGGTGGCACGTAGCCTGGGGAGATGGATTGAATGGATCAGAGAGGGTTGGACAGTCACTGGATAATTTTGACAATGGGGTCCGGGGGTATCATCCATCACTCACGAGCTTACATGAAAGTTTTGACAGGTAGAGGTCATGGCAATGTGGCAGGAGCCAACAGAGATGGATGCCTTTAATTTGGGTAATGAAGAGTTAACCATCTTGGGAGAGCAAGAGGAGCGTTAAATGGGAGAGCCATCCGCCATTAAAAGAAAGTCTTATTTAATTCCTCCAACCCTAATGAAAGACATCGGAACACAATCCTTGATTGACAATGAGGCCCCGGCTGTAATTCCCTGCAGACAGTTCACTTAAGTTCCCTCCCTTGTTAATCTCAAATATAATGAATTGCAAAACTAAGGTTAAATGTGGCAGCGTGAATTCATTATCACTAATACATTAGACCATAAGATGATTTACAGTGCGGTCTCTCTCTTATTTTCATTAACGGTGAATAGCTTTGATTTAGCCGAGATTTCGCCGGCCCGTTCATCCTCGCCATCAATCTCCGCAGCTTGGTCATTGTCCTCCTTTTGTATCTGACCTCTCCACTGGAGAATGAAGCAAAGAATGGCGGCATGTCGGAGCAGAGGACCTGGTGCAAAAAAATATTATTCTGCTTTTTAGTGTGAGTACAAGACCCCCTCTTTATCGCCTCCTCGGAAATTATATTCATCCTGAGCTGTCATTCAACTTCATCCTTGACCCTGGACTTATTGTTGCAGGCTTAATGGTAGTGCTTTCTCCCAGATAAGAGTTAATGCTCTACTGTCTACCAGCAAAAGGCCTGCAAAGACTATCTCACACTAAAACACCAGGGACCCTATCTGCATACTGAGCTGATAGCTATATGGACATTCAAAATGCATGTTCCCTATCCCTTATCATTCATTAACCAAAGGAGGAAGGTAGAAAGAATGCATTTTTTTTTTTTGCATTGCACAACTTATATATGTGAAGTATATTCCCCCCTGCACAACAGTGTTGTCACTCTGCAGCCTGGGCAAGGCTCCCTGTATCTTCATATTAATGCTTGAAGGAATGCTGCACATAAACCAGCATATTAAGGTTTTACACCCTCTAGCAACATGGCATATGCCCAATTTGCCTCAGTGGGAAATGTATATATGCATCGACTTTCGCAATTTACCTCCAGAAATCACCACATCTTCCCTTGTGCATGTATGTGTCTGCAACCAGGCACTAAAACCCACACGAGTTTTTGTTGCATAAATGTGACAAATTGCAGCAGTGCACTAAGTAGAAGCTGCAGCAGCTCCGGTGAGTGACAGGAAGGTTATGTGCCGCTAATGACAGGGTTTTAAAGCTATGGCTACAGCTAATTGGGGTGATGTGTCCGTTCTGTGTCCCCCCAAGACATGTCTCGCTACCAAGGATTAGCCATGATTAAGGTACTGGTCTTCCTAGTGCTTTAAGACCTTTCACAGTATTTATCCGCAATGGTCAGATTACCCCAGTGATGGACAGATAGAGATCGCCAGGGTCGTGATTTATCTTGACAGATAGTTTGAAGCGTATTATAGCCACCTCCGCTGGTGTGGCTTTGAAAGTTACATATATCACCAGACATGATATGATATGGTGCAGTATACGCTGCAGACAAGGAGCCCAATGTAATATTTATGCAATCAGCTTGTTATATAAAAGTAGTTCAAAAATAATGCCTGGGGATATTTTTCACATTTCTTGTTAAAAGAAAAAGGGAGGCAGTTCTTACACAAAACACATTCAGAGTTTAGACTCATTCCGCTCTGTTGGCAAACATTTTAGTCGAGCTTTAGAGCGCTGTAATTGCTTTCCCCAATTAACAAGACACTAATTATGTGATTTTTTTCTACAGGTTTATCTGGAGCACAGTGTTTTATGAGCAACCATTTTCTTCTTTAAACACCTTTATAGCAAAACTAAATCATTTCTTGTTATTGATTTTAAAAAGCACAATAACTTTTGTGAGAACAGTTGCAATGATTTTAAGAGGATTCAGACCAACTAAAGTGAAATATTAAAGGCAATTTAGCATCTTAAATCCACCAACCACGGCTTAAAGCACTAACTCTGTGTAAAAAGTCATACACTAAACTATTTTAAGAAATAAAATGCAGTTTCTTGGAGGTTGACTTCTTCAGGAAAAACTCCAGGTACCATTTGTGGACCTCTTAGGTCATTCTGGACAGTATGAACACGTCTCCAGGGAAAACACATCCTCATTTAAACTCCATTCTGTTAGTCAGGGTTTGAGATGATCAAAAGTGCTGAGCCTTCCTCTAGTTTCCTTGTTAGGACTTGTCTGTTCCACAGGAACCTCTCATGTGTTTTCATTTGAGGAGAAGGCTGCGAGTTTAAAGGGAGCAGGAAAGTCTACCTTGTTAAAACGAGTCATCATGTATGCTTGACAGACACTTATAATGAGATTAGTGTCAGAACGTATCAAAGAGGAAATGTTGGAAATAAGAGAAGGGCTAATCCGCTCCTGCTTTATGACTGAATTCATTCTGTAGCCAAACTTTGCTCTCCTCCTGATCAGTACATGAATTGTTTTAAGCTTTTACTTTTTAATCCTGAGCCTTTGATAAACAGTGAAAATCAGACCTTTTTAGATCCATATAATAAGATATGCTTTTGAAAATATCAGGGATTAATGCATTTAGAAAAAAATGAGAAGCTCTTCTGTAAGTCATTGTTATTAAAATGTTGTTCCTCTCTACGACAAAAAGACGCTTTTCCTTTCGTGAAAGTGCCAGATCTATGGAAAAGGGTATGGCCTTACTGCAGCTGCTTTATCATAAGAGTTAAGTACATTTTACAGCTATGCAAGTCTATTAAATAGAAATAACAATGGTGAACTCTTCTTTACATTCTACCTCACATTCAGTTGAAACGTGTTCAGACCATGCTGGTTGGTGAAACACTCATAGCTGCCTTGAGTATGTCATCAGGTGTTTCCGGCTACAGTGCACTCTCACTTACAGTTAATTCAGGCATGTCATTCATTCTTGCCCACCTGTATTTTCTACAGCTGCAGTTTAATAGTGGTGCAGTATTAACCTGAACATGACATTTCCGGACATGATGGGGCGAAATTCCACAGAAACATAAGGCCATCAATAGGGATGGGAATTGATAAGATTTTATTGATATCAATGCTTTTATCGATTCTGCTTATCGATTTGATTCTTTAATGATTCCCTTATCAATGCCTTTTTTTTTGATTTATTAAAAACAAAAAAAAAAGGTAGACTATAGGTTTTCACCGTTAATTCAAAATTTTATTGAGTCTCTGATAACAGACAAAGATGTATGCCACCAACTATTTGTACAGCATTTACTTTGGTCGGTATTGAGTCAAACTAGGGTGACCATATTCTAGATCCCCAAAAAGAGGACACAGCTACACGGGATGTGGTCGCGCACAATATTTTGAGGTTTTTTCGAGTCAGGTCAAGTGTTTTTAGCGCGCTTCTATCTCAGTTAGTCCATGCTACACAAACTCTAAACTTACGTACAAAACCCGTTGTCGTCTTTCTTAGTAAAATTAAGCCACCGTTTTAGATCGTTTCTGCCTACTTTTTGTACCTTCCGTCATGTTTTTTTTCCTCAAAGTCTCTGTTCTTGTTTGCATAGACTGGCTCTCGTGAGACCGTTTTTTAAGGCACCTGGAAGAAAGGAATCATTAAGATAAAATTTAAACGATGTCGATGGGTTGAATCATTTGGAATCGGTTCTCAACAAGAACCGTTTCTTGATTCTCATCCCTTGCAATCAATGTGTCACAGGATTAATGTCTGAGAAAAAAAAAAGTGGCACTTTATAAAGTGTATTTTGGTCTCCCTTAGTTTGACGCTGAACAGAGGCAAAGCACTGTACATCAGCATCACATGTGCAATCTCATTTCCACACGCATAGAAACTCCTAAGACGTGAGTAAAATGCAGAATATTTCTCAATAATCTAGAACTTCAAAACTCCAGATGTTCACTTTGTGCAGCCTCTGAAAAAAAAAACCCTCTCTGACAAGAGCTTGAAGCTTTGCCACACTTGGGTTGGTCTCTGACTGTGATTTGACACAGTCATTATCAAACCTTCTATTATTGATTTCTAGATAGTTGTTAAACACTCTGCCATGCACACAGCTTAGCCTTTCCATATCCCTCAGTCTCCTCCAATGACCTTTACTGTTAAGATAGAGATAGCTCTCAGCGCATGCAGAGGGGGATGTGGAGGATTTGCAAAAAGAGGACATTTATGAAAATCTTTCTTGAAGCCTGTCTAAGAAATCCTTAAGAGACATGAAGGAAAGGGCAGTGAGTCAGTGTATGGAGAGGACACACTGAGGCTCTGATATGGATGGAATGCAGGGGAAAATACCCGTCTATATGTGCATATGTAATGCAAAGTAAAAAGGAAGTCACCAGACTCTATTGAAGTTTGTACCTTTTTTTGTTGGTCTCTCCAGACATACATACGTTGAAGGGAAACTTTGCTGACTGCCTATAAAGGCTGATATTGAAGTAACCTTCGTCATGGATAGACAGCTGCTGTGTGAAGGAATGCACATATAAGACAATGCTTCCCTTAATACTTATCCATTCACATATTTATGTGAGAATGAAAGGATGATTATGAGAAAAGCACCCAAATCTGATCTGATTTCAGAGGAGAAGATTACAAGAGCTGGACCCACAACAGGAAAAAGTATGTTTTCATTCTAGCCCGCATGATTATGATTATGTTTACAAAGTCTTATAGTGTTTACTTGGTGCATTTTATCCTCTTGCAGGAACAAAGATCCTTTGCATATTTTTTTTTAGTCCTTCTTTTCTTTTTTTTTTCTTTTTTGATTGAAGAAAGCTTCAGAGGCAACAACTGATTGGGCTTCAGTTTTAGCTGGTTATTTGTCACTGGATGTGGTTTGAAGGATTGATTTTCTCCCTCCTACCGCATTGATGAAACCCCTCCTGGAGCTTCCTCTGGGAATTCATCTTGTGCTGATAACTTTGAGCTATCTTATCTAGTCACTGTTCAAACAAGAGTGAATGCTCAGATTTGCTTCAGGTGTTTGTCTCTGCATGGGTTCCATTTCTTCTTGTTTTTGTTTTCAAGGTTAAAGCCTGATTGATGTGGCAGATTTTGCGCAATACTGTTTTTGTCCAGCCTGTGACTAAACCTCCTTCTTTTGCTGGTTAAAAAAGAAGTACTCTAGGGATGGTTTACAAGGAAACCTAAGTATACTTGCTTCAATTTATGATATACTCCCCTCTGTTTTTAGTCTGATTACAACAAATCAAGTAAAATGACGGATAAAAACTGATTCTCAGATCATTTTATGGAAAAGCATGCCTGTGGCTAATTTGAAACATAACTTATCTGATGTAGCGACGATAAGATTGATATAATCATGCACAGAGCTTAATACGTGAGTCATACTCTTTGTTTTGGGTTACATCCATCCTTGAAATCATTATTTCCCCTTTAACGACACTTCACAGGAATTCATTAACCTTAAACATCAATAAAAGTGACGTGAGGAAGCCATCAAGAACAAAATAAAACTAACAAACCTTGACTTTAATTCTGGGTTATCTTACTCTCTAATTATAAAACCTTCAAGACCTCAGACAGCTCTGCTCGAGATTTGTCCACGGGGCATGGATTCTCAATTTGTCGTGCTGCTTTGAACTGTCACTATTCGACTAGTGGTGCAAAGATCATAAACCAGTAAAACTTGAGAGCACAGGATACTACAGCAGCGGATGACAAACTGCATAATCCAGGAAATAAGTTTTGTGTTTGTTTTTTTATCACTCTAGTTATTAAAAAACAACCATTGTACCTGATTCAAGGGACTTCAGGCAGGAATTTGTAGTTGTTGCTATAACCTGGCTTTTTAACCGTTTTTTGTTTGTTTGTTTTTTTGTTTCTTGTTTTTTTGTTTGTGCATTGTCCCTGTTTTAAATAAATAAATTCAAAAAAGTATCTGCTCTTGAAGGTAAAGTAAAAGGCCAGTGGTTGTAGCCATTCTGGAAAGTAGCACACTGCCCCCCTTAAGAGCAGCAGAGGCCCCTCTCCTGTCTGCACTGAGTAGCCTGTAGTCAACACTATCTTATCTGGTTAGGGGGCAAGTCTGGGCTGGCCGGCAGAGAAGCAGAAGCACATGGCTCCAGCGGGAACCTTCTTATACTTCTTAGAAAGCTAGTAAGCAAGTTCCAATTTGATAATCACATCTATTCCTTCGACACTGATTGTTTTTGCTTTAAAAAACAACTCTGTTTTATTGATCCATCTTACTCCTAACACTTAATCCAACCTGTGTCCTTATTTCCCAAATATAGTGTTGGAATTAAGCTTGTGTGAACATGGTAACTTTATGTCTCATTAGAACATATTTTGTTTAGCATTCTTGCAAACAAAACTTTAACATTCTACTTCCATAGTCAGTATGTATGAAAGCAAGACCTGACCTGCAGCCATACAATCCATCAGCATTAGTCCTACGCAGTCTCCAGACTAAACACACTCTCATTACTGCGGCTGCGAGCGCCTGCAGGGCTCTTCCTCCACAAGTTTATTAACACAAGACACAATGTACAACACACAACTAGCTACACTGGACTCTTACAGTAAACACTGCTTCAACGTTGCTGCTATATAATTAAAGGATTTAAATGGCTGGCTTATGGGGAGTGACATGGCAATATGATTACTGTAGAACACACTGTACTGTGTTAGCCAGAGTTGCTCAGGGATGATGTCATCTCCTCCAGGCCATTGTGGATTCCCGCTGCTTTGTAGGCCAGCGTCTGTGCTGGAGAGAGAAAGACAGGAAGTGAGGCTGGATACTCTTCACGCTGTCTTACACAATTCAAACAGTTGTCACCTGTGTAAAGACCGGTTACATGTAGCCCACTAATAAAAGTCCAATTCCCATATCCCAACTTCCTAAGTGCTGTAATTGCCTTAGTGAAATAGTATTCAGTTACTAACCTACATGTGTCCTACACCCACACTGATCCTCGTGTCTCACACTGACTTCTCTCAAAGTTTATGGTCTCCCTCGGGGTTTAATGCACACTGGAGTGGATGGGTGAGAGTTGACTGGTGAGGTTGTTCAGTTTGGTTATATCATGAGTGTAGAAAGGGTTCGGAATTTAATCAGATAAATGTTTTAAAAGCTGAAGCTCAAAGTATCAAACGCTAAATAAGAGATCTTGACTTTTTTAGGCTGGCCATCAATTTTGTACTGACTTAGTCTTACTCAAGCACAACGTTTATACATAATCTTTAGAGGGGGCTCATGTTAATTCAGATGTACAAGTATCAGACATGGAAGTCACATTGGCACATGAGCCTCAAATCTGTGCTCTGTGATTAGTTTTACTGATACATTGAAAAGAGATCATGTTTCAGTTAGAAATCTCTCCTTGCTGTGGAGTTTCTTCATGTGTCATACAATATGATTTGAAGCGGATTTACGACTTGTATCATATAAGTGTAAGTGCATCATATCATAAAATATGATGCACTTTATTCTCCCCTTGGGGAAATTTGTCTTGTGCTCAAATGCTGCACATGCTTAGCTGCCTGATGCGGTTTGCATAAAATGGAATTGTTCAAGCTAAGTACAGTGGGACTATGGGAAATGGGAATATTTAGCTATATCTATCTGAGGAAATGCTCAAAAAATTACTAAAGCAAAGGATTCCTCTTTATCTAATAAGGACAATATTGCAAATTTCCCCACCGTGGGAGAAAAAATGCTTTATCTTGCCTTTTCTGAACTTATCTTACTCTATTTCTTTGTATTTGCACCAAACCATACACACCCGACAGGGCAGGCCTTTGCCAGCAGCCTTCTCGGTCTCGAACAGGGTCCAACACAGTGAACTAATGTCACCTTTACTCCTTAGTTTGTACGTGAACCTTCTTTCTGAGCAACTAAAAGCCTGTAAGACTGAATATATGGTGGGAGATAGACTTGTTCATCATTGCTGATGAGTGCTGGTTGACAACAGCTGCTCTGGATTTGCTCTAGTTATGACCAGCAACACAACATCAACAGTAAAATAAGTGTCATAATGATTGTAAAAGCCAAAGACCATGAGAAGCTGCATTTTCCTTCTTTCTTTATCTCTGACCAAGTGCTTGATGTGGTGGATGAAGTGGAAAGTGATCCATGCTAAGGGTGGGCGATATGGCCTCAAATCAATATCAGGATATATTGAGCAGTTCACCTCGATAACGATAAATGGACGATAACTACTCCACAAACTGCTCACCCCTACTTTAGCCCCAACTTTTGAACCGTCCTTTATCTCCTCACCTGTCTTTCCCTCTTTGTTACGATGGATGGTATGGAGTCATGTCTCTGACGTAGAACAGCGTCTTAAAGGGACATGAGACCATGGCCTACCTTCACACATTCAAAACCAACTTTTATTTATTTATTTTTTTTACATTGAATATATTGACATGGGCAAAATGACATCAGTTATTGTCGTAAATTTCTATATCTGTAAATTTTTGGTTTCTCCCCCAGCCCTAGTCCATCCCTATAAAACCCCCTTCTAAGTAAACAGAAACAAAACAATGTACATTTTTAGCTGGTTACATACAAGTTTTAAAAAACACTATATTCTGTTTCTACCACCTGTTCTGCAAATGTCACCCAATACGACACACCATATTTTTAAATCCCTGTGAGGAGTTTTTAGCCGATAGTGGAAAAAGACTGAAACTGATGCCAATGCCTCTCAATGACCTACAACATCAAACAAGGCCACCAGCAACAAGACTGACAATTTATTTACTGAGACTGTTGATGCCTGAATCTGCAAGGGGGTAGGTGACAGACAATTGACAGCACACTATAGACACAGCCTTTCTTTTATTTGACTATGACACATTTGACTGTGGGGAGAATGCGGGAAGAAACACACAGATACAGTATTTTGTGGACTCAAAACAGTAACTGATTTATAAATAAACTTTAGATTATTTTTAATCTTTGCACCCAGTAATTTAAAAAAGGTTACTTTCATACCATTGCTGCTTTAGAAACAAAAAAAGTTTAAGAAACTTTTCAAGTTAAAGTGACACAAATCCTGACTTTGCAAAAACAGAGTAATGTTTACAAGTAGCAGACTGTTGCAAGTACAAGTGTACGCGGGGACACCTCCAGCTCCGGCCTCTGATTGCATTTGTTCGTCTGTGGGACAAACATTCCAGCACAGTACTCAAGCATCAGCTGTTTACATTCACGACAAGATACTCCAGTCTCAAGTATCCGCTAAGCATCAGACCTTGAGAGACAGAGGCCACATCAAGGAGGTCAACAAACAACCTGACACCCTGGAGATACATTTGCATTGAGTCGAGAATGTAAAGCACCAATGGGGGGGCATAAAATGGCCTTGGAGGCAGCAAACACTCAAGTGGTAAAACAACAACCTCCAAACTGCTGTAAGATCCTCCTCATTGTCAAAAGCTCTTCTTATCTGGAGAGAGAGAGAGAGGGGAAGACAGGATGATCTTCGGGGAATGAGACTATAGCGACAGGCAGCCGGCGAGACGAATTCTGGGCCAGCTGACATAGCTCGTTTTAGTATCATCTCACAAGTTAAGACAACAGAAAGGGCTGCGGTTACTCGCTAAGAAAATACAGTCCATAAATCTTCAGATTCATAAGCTGATATCTGATTTCACCTCCAGCCTCAGCCTGAGTTGAAACTCTACATCTGTATGTAAAGAGACATGGGTGGCTTTACCTTATAACACTCACAAACTTGCGCCACATCAACTCTGTGTGCATACCAGCAGATTACCATTAAGTGACTCCACTATATTGGCTGGAAAAACACCTACTCACAGTGTGGCAATAAACATTGCAACTTGAGTCCACAGGATACTCAAGAATGTGTCTGTCAAGTTTGAAGTTAATTTGCGTTTTTATGTGCCCCCCCCCCCTTTAGCTTTTTAACCCCCTGACTCACTCGCCCCCCCTTCACCTTTTTTTTTTTTCACCCATTGTGAAGCCATCAGATAGCAGCTTCCAGAAGTCCACACCTGTCTCAGGGCCATGCAGAGGAGATGGATCCATGCATTTTGAGCATCAGATAGCCTCTAGCCAGGGTTAGTATTGATCTAACGCTTCACTGGCCCTTTGTGAGAGCAGCAGCTGCTTTGGGGGGCTTTTAGATAAGCAATGCAAAAGGGAATTGTTTTCCTCCTGAAACCCTTCTTTCAATGTTGCTACATGAAAACCATCACTTAATTCAACACTCCATCGCTCTGGAATAAAAATGTCCTCTCCCTTGGCACGAAAAAAGCAGCAAATAAGCATTAAAACATCTGCCCTTGGGGGTATTGGAAAGCGGCTGGTATTAGAAATCACACAGTGATAATGCAGCTCTCTGGGTTTTCGCTGTTTAATCATATGTAATCTCTGGAGTGAGAATGAAATGAAAACACAACATGTTTCGGTATCCCGCAACTCTTTCTTTCTCTCTCTTTCTCTCATCATCGTCGTAGCGACTAAATGAGGCAGGGTGGGGTAGGAGGAGGGGGTCTGAGGTGGGTACATCTGTGTGAGGCAGACATGGCGATGAGACCCTCCCTGAGATGACTCATATAGGCTGAACGGGCTGACACCAGCACCTCATTCACAGCCAATAATGAGCCATGCTAATGAGCAGGACAGCCACCCTGCACGCTCATCATTAAGCCGTCTTGTGATTCATGTCCAGCATGAAACCGTCATATGAAGAGATAAGGCCGGCTGCTGCAGGCTTGGGAGAGATATGTATAGATAGGAGACAAATGGGGAAACTGCAGGTGATGCTTTTACTTTGAAGGGTATACGTGATCAGTATATTGTTTGATGTTTTTGTACAAGGAGGAGAGTGTAAATTAGCTCCTCTTTCTTTAATAGACTTTCACATGCTGCATTCAAGGGCAGTTTCCTTGAATCCCACATAGATATGAAGCAAATATATGCTTGCAAATTCCACCTTTATATCATCCAGCGCCATCAGTTCATTTGAAATAACCACCTCTAGCCACGTCTGTGCTGATCAGATCAAATACCACTCAAATGAATCCATCAGAAAAAAGACACGCTGACAGTAAAACATGCATGTGCATGCACCAACCTCCTGAGACTCCTGCTCCGACACATATATCTGATAAGGCTTAATCAGCACGGGGTGGCCATGATAAAGCATTTCATCCCTATCTCAGTCTAAGAGAGAGACGCAGACAGGGGGCTAGAAAAAGCCGAGATCCCCCTCTATTTCTCAGCGTTTCTCCCTCGGTCTCCTAAGGCTTGTCGTTTTTCCCCCTGTGTGCCTCTTTCTCTCTGTCCTCCCCCCTTGCTCTCCTCCTCTCTTCTGCCTTCTCTAGCCGCTTCTCCCTGTATCAGTGCAGACACTTCTTAAACCCCAGCTGGGGGAAAATACGGTGGCTTGGTGGGGGGAAGGGGGTTTCAAAAGGGTAAGTGATTGCCCTCTAGGGGACGAAGCAGAGAGGGGAAAAAAAGCAGGACGCCTTATCGCCCCAGCCTCCAATAGCACTGCTGGCTACCACCCAGAGCCGTGGGGAGAAGGGAAGGAGGGAGGGTGGAGGGGGGGTTGCAGGAGACGCCAGCTAGATGCTGCACTGCCTCTTGACACAGCAAACTCAGCAGGGAGCCTTCCATCCTATGCCTGGCTGTATGGGCTCATATAAAGGCTGCGTAGCCAAATGTTGCCATTTGAATGAGTGTTATTGCTTTGCTTGCATGCTTTATAGTGTTTCACGTGTGCAGGGATCGAAAAAGGATGAGTCTGTGAGGTTTGGTTTATGAAACAGGATTAGGAAATGATTTAAAACTTAAATTATCATGTGTGTGTATCCATGAGTGTTTACTCAGGGCTAAATCCTGACTAAGTATCAGTGGGATGCTGCAGATGTGTTTTAGGTGCTCACACAAACAAAACAAGACCTACAACCAGGAATGTACTACTGACCTATTTCCATCATCCAAAAGCAGACATGGAAACAAACAGAAAAGGAGCCGTGCCACTGTGAAAAAAAAATCATAACACTTGGTCGCTGAGAGATAAAAATGCATTGGCTTATAATACAGTTAATGAAAGCCTTCCTTTAAAGCCATTACCAGCTGCTTAAATGCATCCCTCTACAGCAGGCAGGCAAGCAGTCAGGCAGGCGCACCGACGCATCCAGGCGCCTGCAACAGTGTCCAAGCGCCACCTTCAGTATCCAACCTAAGGGGGTGGAGAAAAAGCAAATAATCACACAGCCTACATCTTTTTCCTCCAGACACATCTGCACATAGCAGCTGTCTGTCTGGAGAAAAGAATATAGTCTCCTCTAATTTTTTCTCCCTTTTTTTGAAATAAGGAAAAGACCTTTAAGTCTTATGTGCGCTTTGGTGCGTACAGCTCATCTCAGGAGCGCGTACTGCTAACTGTGTGTTTAATATGCCTGTCTCGCCCGGCGTGTTGCCCCAGACACTGTGTACCACAAATCCCCACCTCCACTCCAATGAGCGCTCGGGAGGGGAGGGAGGAATAAAAAGGGTTAAGGGGAGTCTTGTATGGAGTCTGCTGGGCGGAGTGGAAGGGACCTGATTGGATGGCTGCGTGTGACGCAAGGGACATGAAAAAGCTGATAACTAGTTAAGAAGGCAGTTTGTAACTCTGGAAAAAGAGTGCAGAGCCTGAGACATACATTAAGCAGAGGACGCGGACGCAGCCGGCACAGAAACACAGAGACCTGAGTGAAGGGGGGCAGAACTGCAGCGTCCGGACACAAAGTGACTTGAAACGGTGGGACGATGGTGCAGCACACAGACAACAGCGAGACGGACGGAAGCATGTCCAGGGAGGCTACAGACTCGGAGGAGAGTGAATTTATGGCATGCAGCCCCGTAGCGATAAACCCGGACTGGTGCAAGACAGCCACCGGTCACATCAAGAGACCCATGAATGCATTTATGGTCTGGTCCAAAATCGAGAGGAGAAAGATTATGGAACAGTCGCCCGACATGCACAACGCGGAGATTTCCAAGCGCCTTGGGAAGAGGTGGAAGATGCTGAAGGACAGTGAAAAGATCCCGTTTATCAGAGAAGCCGAGCGGCTGCGGCTAAAACACATGGCAGACTACCCCGACTACAAGTACAGACCCAAGAAAAAACCAAAGCTCGACAGTTCAAAATCATCAGCACCGTCTCCGGAGAAGTGCGGCAAGATTACTAAGACTCCTAACAAGAAGTGCTCAAAGATAAAGACTAGTAAAAGCGGCTCTAAGACCTCTCACGGCTACGGGGAGGACTGTGTGTTTCCCAGCTTCAAAGTTGCAAAGACTGTGAAAAGTGAGCTCACCGACGAGGACGACGACGACGAGTACGAAGAGGACTACCGGATGGGGATTAATAAAGCGGGGGACGAGGAGCGCGTGCGGCCATACAATGTAGCCAAAGTTCCCGCGAGCCCAACTTTGAGCTCCTCGGCTGAGTCCGAGGGCGCGAGCATGTACGAAGAAGTGCGGAAAAACAACCGACTGTTTTACAATATCAAAAACATTACCAAGCAGAGCACATATCACGCTGCTTCTGTCTCACCAGCATCCTCCAGGTCAGTCTCCACATCCTCCTCCTCTTCCTCCTCCAGCAGCAGCTCCTCTTCTTCCGGGGAGGACGCGGACGATTTGCTGTTTGACTTTAGTTTAAATTTCGCCCCCAGCGCCCCTGGAACGGAGCTGGGCAACCCCAATTCAGGAAACCTCTCCCTGTCTCTTGTGGATAAGGACCTGGACTCGTTCAGTGAGGGCAGCCTGGGCTCTCACTTTGAATTCCCAGACTATTGCACGCCAGAACTCAGTGAGATGATAGCCGGGGACTGGCTGGAGGCGAACTTTTCCGACCTGGTCTTCACATACTGAACTGCAAAAAAAAAAAGTTGCTCTAGTAATAACAGAGAAGGGAGAAAGTAAATTATATATGTGTCCTGGTCAAAGTTGTCCCTAGCCCTGCCTCCTCCTCCTGTGGGTTTTTTTTTAAGGGTCCTAGAAGGAGTAAAGGAGGTGGAGGACCTGGAGGCGAGGAGGTGAGGTTTGAGGAATGAGATGCTTATGAAGCTGGTAGCAAAAAAGCAAAAGTCTGCAGACTTTTTTTTCTGGCAGCATGACAGGGTTTTATGGATTTTTTCCTCCCCGTATAGGTCTGCATTTTACAGTTCAGCTTAAACGGACCACAAAGGGAAAAATACGTGAACTTCTATGCATCTTTTCCTCTTAAAAACAAAACTGCAGGGAGCTGAAAACGGACTGTGGACTGACTCAAAGCAAATCTGTGAACTGACAATTGTTCAGGATGTTACTTTACAAACGGTTTATGTAATTTCTTAATGCCGCAAAATGTTTGTTTGTTTTTTGTAACTGATTCAGTTTACCTCCTGGTTTGGAAAATTAAGCAGCCTAAACCTCTACAGAGTACAGGTGTGGAGGAAACATTTTGATACATAACAGACCTCATCTTTTTAAAAGAAAAGTAAGATATTTTCAGGCATATTTTTGTACAGTTAAAAGGGAATGTTCTTACTGTGCTTTCAGTGAGTTTCAGGCACTTCTTCCCTTTATCATTTGTTTTTAGCATGCAAGGGAGTCCTGGTTTTAAGGATTAAGTTAAATTAAAACTTGCATCAAAAATGCCTTGTGATTTCAAACTAGGTTTTGTACAGTTGTAGAGCAGATTTGTTGAGTATTTGTAGACGATACAATGGCATCATGGGGAACACATACCTCAGAGCTGGAACTAGTTTCAAGATTGTATATGTACTGTAATATAGTAAAGTTAGGAGTTTATGTATATCATACTCGTGATATGTGGATGGGTCCCGATCGCAGGTGTGAAACTGGATTTTGGTATTTTTTATGGCACATACTGTTTTTCCCCCCTCTCATTTTTTTTGTGCAATATATACTCTTAAGATACAGACCATCAACAATTGTAGCAAGTGATGGAAAAACAGACTTGTGCACTGTCAACATCATTTCATGTTATGATGCTGAAGCCTGTCCAGGCAGGAAAATAAACAAATCAGCTGGAACTGATACAAAACAATATAATATGGCCTCATGGTGTGATGCATACTATAGATGGATATCACAAATTGAATGTTATTTGATACATATCCAACACCAAAACAGCTCAAATCTGACTGAAATTAAGGAAGAGTACTGCAAAAGAAAAAGGGCATAGTCTGATACAGTGGTGGTCTGGGATTAGTTTAACAAGCAAGCAAGCAAAAAAGAACATTCCATAGTCCTGTTTCATAAAATGAAACCTTATTTTAAAACTGAAGACTGCCTTCTTTTTTTAAAACATTAACCATAAACCTGTATTTTTTATTTCTTGCACTTAAAAAAAAGCAGATATTGTTTATTTTTATGTGGGTCTTACATATGAAGTCTGTTTGATAAAAAGGTTTTGGAATATGACCTAATTATATGCCGAGACATTTTGTTGGAAGTTCTAGGCAGTAGTTACTTCACATTCCGAGTGTGAATCTGTCTTTGACTCATCTTTTAATAAATAAGTACCTACCACCATCGACTGTCCTTTCAGTTTGTGAATATATGTACACAGATGTGTTATTTGTTGCGTTTGCAAAGGATGTGATGACAGAATGATGCCTATTTTGTACGTAGGCGGATACTCTGAAAATGATGGGCTCAAACTAACATGTGAATTCACATTTAATAAAAAGGAAAAAAAGGAAAACTTTTGAACTGCAGTGTTGAGGTGCTTTACTCTGCCTGGTTTTCAAAATGTCTCTGCTCAGCTTCCCCTCACCACGCCTCCCTGAGAAAAAACGGTCACTGCTGCTTTAAGAAATTGAATTGCCCGCTTGCCTGCGCCGAGCGACGTGATTGGTGCGATCGCTGGTCCCCTTGGAGACGGAGCTGGAAACAGGAGCTGCTCCTCACAGTGTGTGGGAGCTCTCAGTGTGTCTGGCCTCCATTCAGAAAAGTAGCACTGTGGTCAGCACAGAAACGACTCGAGAGCAGTGCAAACACAGGGCTGAGAAAATGTCTAAATAGGACATATGTTCGCTCAGGGATAAACAGTGGCACTAACTCCAGACAGATAGTATTTAATCTCTTAAAAATAAAGAGGGTTTTATCAAAAATATCATTCTAATAGGAAAAATAAACTCATAAGCTTTGTCCTAATGGCCTCTAATCCTTCACGTCGCTAGTTAAATCTGTGGAAGGAAGAAGGGTAGTAGGTCAGTGTGAGTCTCAAAAACTCCTTTAAATAATTTGCCATAGGTTTGGGTCTTTAAGCAAAGCATGTTCTCTATTACTATCCCTGATAGTCTGTGGTTTAAAAGCAAAAGTGAATAAGTATTAGTAGAAACCAAAAACAAACAGACAGGGTTATATTTGCAACACAGGACCTCTTTAGTAGTCATAATCAAAGCATAAATATTACTGGTTAAAACCTGACAGATACAATAATAAAATTAGCATTAAAAAGGACACAACTGTAGCAACAGTTTATAAGCTCTCACTGATACCAATGCCATTTATTTTATAAGATGTACGATGATAAAACAGGTCTAATCCATATGTGATGTCATTAGTATAACAACCCATTTATTTAGAGTCATAGCATCTTCATATTGTTACAGTAGCTGCTGTAAACCTCCAGAGGACCAAACAGGCAGCCTTTTGTCTCCCCCGATAGCCACCTTTAACAGATCATACATAAAGAACCAGAGGCCTGGCCACTGAGAGATTTGTGTTCATTACAGCAAACGAATCTAATGATGAATATTTGCCATGCATGGCTGCACAGGTACTGGCCCCCCCATTAAGTCCGTTTGCAAATCTGTAATAAAACATTTATCTAGCTATTACTTTACCTGACCTATTGGTCAAAGTTGCTAATGGGTTCCAGGGCTATTCCCAATAGAAGCCCAACATTGATTTTGTGCTCCTCTGAAATATCTGTTCAGGGCTAATGCCACCGGTACATGTTGAAATGAAATTAGTGACCCGTTGAAATTTCCTCCTATTTCCTCCTTAAATAAATAAATGGAAATGTAGAATGCTCAGGAGACGCTGACTGAGATAGCGTCCTCCAAGGGATGCAGCGGGAGGGAGGGATACTGTGGTGACAAAAGAAAGTAATTTCCAATCACTTGAGCGTTTAAATCATTCATATAAGCCAGGATGTCACAGTCAAATGCTGTACGTGACACCTATACAAAGACCCCTGCAGCTGAAGAGAGAACTGGAGGCACATCTGCACATGTGCAAAGTGGGCATTTAAAAATATACCAATGCAATCTAAGAGCTTTAAGATATAACTCCTTTGTGACCGCTCTCTGTCTCAGTCTAACCCAGTTTTAATAAGACCTGTTATGTTTCTTCACATCTTCTCTCCTCTCCGCACTGACTCGCGGTGAGCTCAGATGCATTACATCACTGCTTAGCTTATGCCGCTGCGCAGTAAGATCCCATGTTGTGTCATCATTGATCCACATGTGCTCCTCTTCTCCCAGTGGGAGGCTGTCTAATATTGCTAAGGGAATACTGATCTACGCTCTCTGAGCTGAAGGTTTCAGCACAACAATAACAACACTGCCTTAGCCTAAATTTAAACCTGTTTACTGTCTGTTAATTGACGAGTGAGCAGGATTTACGGTATCCGCTCCCAGATCTGCTGTCTGAGATTTGGACACCATTTCCACCCCCTTCTGTTACACAAGCGTGTCATACTGTTAGACGCTGCCAGTGCGTTACAGATCCCGCGAGCGGTGTGACAGAGTATTGAAATGACACACCAGCAGTTGGTCCCGCTTGTGCAACAATGAGTCATGCGCTATGATCCAAACAGGTGAAAAGCTATTTGGAGCATGAATATCATTTATTATCTTCCGAATCCAGATGACAAAACTACATGTTTATCTCAGGAAAAAGCCTGTCTAGCATGAAATCTTGGCTGTAATGACCTTATAAGTACTTCCTCCTAATGTTTTGCAGTTCTGGGAGAATTTGTCTGTAAAATTGCCTGCCTGAGCAACAGCCCAGTCCCTGTGTCCTCTGCTCCAGTCTTGGCCTGGGGCGACTCCTGCTGCTGTTGATGGCTATCCATTTGCTCAGCTCTCCTTATGTACGGGAGGGAGGTAGAGAGGGAGCATCGGCCCCATCTGCTGCACTGATATTTACTATCCCTTCACATTTGTGAGAAGGAGGGGTGGCAAAAGCCCAATTCCCTCATGGTGTTTTAGCACTCTGGCAGATGCACACATGTGCACGCACACATTGGATGGCATTGAGGGAGAGAGAGGTAAATAGATGAAGCAGAGAAAAAGTTCAACTCTGATTTAACTTGGATACAAAACAGGGTGTGTAACCGATAATAAGCCCATAGCTGGAAGCAAGTAACCTGCACGCTCTTCTGCTGCCTAATTTCCCATTCAGAACTTCATTGCGGTTTTTCATTATTTAGCAAAGGCAATGAGACATTGAAAATAAGTTTTAGGAGGGGGGTTGAGCTGCCGCGGTGAAAGCAGACACAGCAGGTTGTTGAGAGCAATTTGAAGCGGCAGTGCTATTGTCTCGTCGACACAGAAACAAACAGTTCAATCACTCCTCGCAGAATAAGTCCTGACATGCAGTAACATCTCATTGGGAGAAGGTCACTTTTTTTGTGGGGATCTGCTCGAGGTCGCGCATCAGTCATTTGAATTAGCCTCTGAGAGGGCAGGAACTCAGATGCACACCTGCTTCTCTTTTCAAACCCAACTGACTGATACAGTTGTTGAATAGTGTGTCCTTCGTGTCCAATCTACGTATATTTTTTCCTGCTTTCAAGAGCCACAAAGGTCTCAGTGTAAAAAGAGTAAAACTTTGACTTCTTGCTCTGCTTATAAAGCAATCCCACCTTGTTGGATAGCTCGGCTGCAGTCAGTCAGTTTTGGACACATACAAAACCTTGTTCTGAATTAATTGTGACTCTATGTTTGATGTTTATCTTTGTGCTTTGCAGCTGCTGCAGCCGCCCTCTGCTCTCTCCAATAAGTTAAAGGGCATAAGCCTACAATATTAGTCCAGCTGGGACATAATGTATGCAGGCTGCAAATGGTAAATCAAAAATAATCCAGATTATAGCATGAGAGAGTGTGTCAATTTTTATCAAATTACATACATTTGTATCTGTTTTTGTGGCGTCAGTGGTCCATATGTGTTTACAGAGTGTGTTGTTGTTGACCAGATAATGTTGTTGCCCTCCAATCAAATGGAGTGGATCTCTGTGTATTATTAGAGCTCAGAGCTCTCCTATAGCACGTCTGCCTCTGCTGAAGAAAGTCTGTTTGGCTTTTTGCCCAGATGCATGGATTTAAGGGGACGGAGTTATACCCATCCCCCATTTTTAGAGTTGGGATTGTGTGTGAGAGAGTGTGTTTATGAGGCTGTTTGTCCGTGAGATTAAATTATTGTTTTGTTGTTAGCATTTGGGTTTGCAAGATGCCAAACTAAGCTTGTTCTGAGTACAGTTCTCAACATTTCAAGGCATATACAGGCAAGATAGCAAACTGTTGTTTTAAGTGTGGCTTTTATTATCAAGTTAATCCAGCTTTGGTCATATTTTTTCATTTGAACAATATCTCTTTTTCTGCTGTTTATTTTGCCTTTTTTGTTTGTTTGTTTGTTTGTTTTTGTCCATCAATATGTATTGATTTCTAACATTTATTTAATTTACATCTGTATTTTTTTTTTTACCATTGCAACATTTTATCCATGTTGATTTTCATTCAGATTTCATCCATTTGAGCCTACATCAAGCACATATAGCTGCATGTTTGCATTAAAAGTGCTGCATAGCCAAACTTCAGTTATGCTGAGTAAAAACATGTAAAGAAAGGTTACCCCTGCTCCTCTGCAAGTCCTCAATTTAATGATACCAGCTACAGACATTCATGACCCCCTGCCTCTACACCTCAGGATTAAGTCAGGCAGTAATCTAGATTCAAACCTGCAGCTCAAAGGGAGCCCATGCAATTCCCCCCTTAAAGCTCGAGCAGAGCCAGCAGTTGGTCATTCATATGCATCTGAAATCTAATACTCTGCTGCTGTGCCCCTCTGTGGCCCCACCTTTCCTGACTCACCAGTGAACCTCGACTCCTCCGCCGCGCTCCAACCATTACCCCCACCCTTCCCCACGCTTCCTCCCCTTTTCCCCTGTCTTTCTCGCCACCCCCACCTTTCTCTCGCTCTTTCTCCTTCCATTTGCATGTTACCCAGGTTACACTGTCAGGGTACCCCCTCACAGTTAGGCGCGACGCAAGGTCTCATTTGATAGTCTTTGCTGCTTCAGTAAATAATTAGCACACTGAATCCTCTGGGGCCCTTTACAGGAAGCATGGCTTGCTTACCAGGGGGGCTAAGGTTGTAATGATTGCTATCCTGCAAGGTTTTTGATAGCAGGGCCCCTCCTTGCCTCCTTCTCAGCACAGAATATGTGAAAAACACAGCTAGAATTAATAATGGATGTGAGTGTGGATGCTGGAAAACGGGCCGCATTTACATTCGGAGACTTTTTCAGCATTTGTCTGAAATAAAAATTCTATGTCTGCACTTTATAGCTGTGTGCACAAACAACAAAATATTACACACAGTGAAAGCAGTTGACCCAGATTAAATATATAAAAAAAAAAACTTTAGAAAATGACAGAAAAAAAGGAAAGCAGCTGCTTTTAGGTGAACCACATGTGATTCTGTTCTGCAATCAGTCAAACAAATATGTTCATCTACATTTGGAGTCATTAAGACAATGAAAAATCTTGCAGCAAATTACACCAACATCTTGTGTAATGTATCATACGTTCAGCAGTTGCATTAAAGATTTATTCCAAATCAATCAGCGGCTCCATCCTTCTGAATAATCTCATCCTTCTGGCAAAGCAATACATATTTTACCAAAGCATAAAATATCAAACAATTGCCAGATGGATGCTTGACCTCACTGATTAGCAAAGGAGACACTCAGAGGAAGTAATGCCCTCTCAGGATTGCATCTGTAAAATGACAACTCCTGCCAAAAAGTCCATTAACTGCATGTAGATTTTAATGGCTCTGTCCGGCTATGGATGCAGAGACAACTTCAGATGTTATTGTAGGAAATGAAGAGTAAATGAAAATGAGCCAGGGCCTGAGTGGGACTCAAACTTCCCTCCCCCTTTTACGCCCTCGAGTGCATGTAGAAACCCCCCAAAAATGAATTGCACTGTTGAATAATTCATATGTATGCGGATGAACAATTCATATGCATCATGTTAAAGCTATATCTATGATGAAGAAATGTTATATTTATGGAAAAAAACAGCACACCAAATGCTGCACCTTAAAAATCTCAGCTTGGCAGATGGCTGTCTACCAACTAATCTGGTTCTGCTTGAGGACTGTGCCAGATAAAAACAGGTTCTATCCATCACTGGAATCGACCACGAGCTCATTGTTCTAGATCTGCTCAAAGGCAAGTCTTTCAATCAGATATTATGATTCTTTATATGATTTGGTTGGCTGATTCAGACCCTATCCACATATGTGTTGAAGTTTTTCTGGCAGATTTCCCATCATGCCTCAGACTTTGACAACTAGACTGGGTGAACATGTGGCCCGGTCAAAGCAACATGTGAGACCGTGCAGGAACACATCTTACATGCTAGTAGCCCATATGCAGCCTCTGTGGGAGGCTCTGGGTGGCTGTGGATTGTTTGTAGCCGGTGGGGACTGCGGCTATAGTGTCTGAAGAGATGTGACATGTAGCCCCACTCCTCACCACCGATACACACAAACAATGCTGACACACACACGCAAACACACCCTCGCCTTCTCTCCTGGCTGGTTGGAGTTATTCATTTCGCTGAGCACCTCAGCCGCCAGCAGAGAAATGCTGTCACTGGGTCATTACAAATACCCACAGGCGGCTGAGAAT